ACGACTGAGAGCATCGACAGTTTTATTTTCAACTCCCACCTTATGTCTAAGGGTGTACGTGTATTCCTAAAGGAACTCAACCCATCGACCATGGCGTGCATTTAACTTCTTTTGGGAGTTGATATAACGCAGCGCTTCGTGATCCGAGAAAATGATGAACTCTTGCGGGAGCAAGTAGTGTCGCCAATAACGAAGAGATTTGATCACGGCGTAGAATTCTTTGTCATACGTGGAGTAGCGCTGCCAGACATAATTTAACTTTTCACTGAAGTATGCAACTGTGTGACCTTCCTGGGAGGGACTCCTACAATTCCGACCCCTGAAGCGTCGCAAGTTATTTCGAAGACTTTGGAGAAATTAGGAAGTCGCATCACTGGGGCTTCCACCATCTTTTGTTTGATCTCATCAAAAGCTTGGGTGGCAGCCAGGGTCCAGTGAAAATCACCCTTCTTCAGGCAATCAGTGATAGGAGAAACAATAGTACTGAAGTTCCGTATGAATCTTCTATAGAAGGTGGCTAATCCATGGAAGCTACGGACTTCCCGGATAGTCTGAGGGATAGGCCATTCTACAATGGCCCTCACCTTCTCGTGGTCTGCGGAAACCCCTTGGGCTGAAACGATGAAGCCCAAAAAAATGACGCGATATACTAGGAAGGTGCATTTCTTCGGATTGGCATATAATTGCTCCTTCCTTAAGACCTCACAAACTTGCCTTAAGTGGTCTAAGTGCTGGCTAGTGGATCGATTGTAAATAAGGATGTTATTAATGTAGACGACGACAAACTTTCCAATAAAAGGACGCAGTACTTGAGTCATGATCCTCATAAAAGTGCTCGAGGCATTACTGAGCCCAAAAGCATGACTAATCACTCATAGAGACCATCCTTGGTCTTGAAGGCAGTTTTCCACTCATCAACGGGTCGGATCCGGATCTGGCGGTACCCACTTTTGAGATCAATTTTGGAGAATGGTGTGGCACCCGTCATCATATCGAGTATGTCATCGATCCTCGAGATAGGGAATCGATTATTTGACGGTGATCTTGTTGATTGCACGTCTATTAATACCCATTCTCCAAGATTCGT